TACCCATAAACCTGGTGGGCGCGTCGTCGTTTATTGTGCGGAATTTCGAATCGGCTTTCTAATCAGCCAAGTGGATAGTACACTTCCCAAGGCTTAAATGCCAAAGAGCATCTGATGGCAGGGCATAGCCTTTCCTGAGCATTTTTTATATGGAGTTTTCACTGTTCTTAAGATCCGCGTACTACGCTTAAAACCGCTGCATTTCCGGGATACAAAAATTGAAAACCAATTGTCTCTACGCCTACAAAGCCGGGTGTTCAACGGTAATAAGTTGCAATACGCAGTGTTTTACTTGGTTGAGGCCCTCTGCTCGATCCTGAAATGACTGAGCATTGCCACAGCCGTCGATCAAACCCACATCAAAAGTGAATCTCTGCTTGTTACCGGCTACGATAAGATCTTAAATTTCTACATCTATTTGAAAGCTATCAACCTGCACGAGGCTCACACTACAAACCTTCTTTACCCGTTCAGCAGCTATCTGACTTCAGCAAACCATTTTTCCTCATTTGTATTGCCTACAACCAAAAAATATTCTCTCCTTCGTTTCGTTTTGCAGATTTATGAACTTTATATTTGACACTGATTTCCCTTTTCTTAGCTGAAACTCGATTGCCTACGCCTCAGCATTCTGTGACGCGCACCAATTTTCGGTTGTTGGCTCTTTCGGCTTGCTCATGTACTGAAAGTCAGGCCCTTCTTCTTCTGCCATTTCAGTTAATTTCAATTTGGAGTCTTGCATTTGGCAGCGCATAACCGATCGTATTTTATTATGAGTGCATGCCAGCCGCCTGTGCGCATTCCTGCTCTGTGTTGTGTGTGTCCCCTCTTGCTTTTCGCCTAACAAAGCTCCAGCATGTGCTCCCTCATGCAATTTTCGTTTCTTTCATCAGTCGCACCTAGCCGGTTTCGCATGGATTTCGTTTGCTGTTGCGTTTTTGTGTATTTTTAGCTCCGAATTTTCAGTTTCGGCCGGTTTGGGAGCCCATACGCTGTTGCTGGCCTGCTGGCATGGTCTGCCTCTGTAGCAGCAGGCATCCGGTTCATGCCATTCGGTATCAACTGTGAAACAACAACAACAACGGTAACAACAAACACGGCCACGGCCAATGCACGCTCGAATGGGGTAGGCCTATAAATCTACTCCACTGCCATAATTTTTTTCGATATTCGTTTTGGGCTGTAATTTTGTAATCGTGTGCCCGTGTGCCCGTATGCCCATGTGTGCGAGTGTGATCTTGTGTGCGGCGAGCAACTTGCGTCCGCTAGCCGTGCCCCCAATTTCGTCGTAAACGCCGCAACCATCCACACACTGATGCCGATCTTTGGCCGCCTTTCGTTTTCGCGCGAGTGTTTATAGTTGTTGTTGATATTGAATTTTCATTTGTCAAGGCCAAGCGGGCGTTGAACCGCGTGTGTGCGCTCAATTTGGCCGCGCGGTTGGCGTCGGCGCTGTCGTCTTGATTTTTGAGTGCATTCAAATTTGAAAGTTGCGGCGCGCGGTTTGGCAGGCGCCCGATTCCGCGTAGAATTTTTGAACACATACATACACACATATGTATGTATGTATGTGGATGTGTATTTTTATGTAAGTGTGCGTTTTGGCAATAAACAGAAGTGCAGAATAATAACAGCAACATGCACTGCATTCAAACGCTGTGGCAATGGCAGTGGCAGTGGCAGCCGTTGCGACCAAAGTAAAGTTGAAATAAAACTGAAATTATGGGGGAACCGTGACGCGGCTGCGGCTACGGCTGCGGCTGTGGCAGTGGCAGTGGCATCGAGTGCAGTGAAGTGCGCAATTAAGCTTTTTTGTTCATGTGGCACTCCATTTGCGGCCTCTCCCCCCCCCCCCCCCCCCAAGGGTTTGCATCCCCCAGGCGACCCCACCGACTGTTTAAAGTGGGATATGCTCTTTTTTCGTATTTTCGTAATCTATCGCAGTGGGGTTGAGCGCCGTAATATTATAGTGATATTGTAATTTGCTCACAGCAACAACCATATTGTTGGCGTTGGGGAATGGGTAGTATGCTGTCATATTTGCAGCTTGTGGTAGCCATGCTATACTTATAAAAGAGTATGTATGTATGTATGAATGGTTATATGCCGCTGCAAGTGTTTTGATCGATTGCAATTTAGGATCGGCGATATCGTTGCTGCTGCAGAATTACAACGCCAGCAACAGCCAGGGAGGCCAGCGGCGTTGTATCATCGAAAAACTTGAAATTTCATAATGGATTTGTAAATTGTGCGCTCACATTTTTGCGATCGGTAGAAGGAAAAAAGCGATGCACAGCAACAAAAACGTAGCCCCCGTATTTCGCTGTTGTGAGTCTTCTCCCTAGGAGTTTTTTTTTTTGTTGGAACCCATTTGAGGCTTTTTCAGATGAATTTTGTTTCTTTTTCATCAACATTAATTGCATTCCCAGCACTTTTGCCATACAAATTTAAAATGGACCTGAGTGAAAATATTTAAAAAAAAAAATAAATAAAATCTGTAATTTATCTTAACACCTCGCAGATTCTCTGGGAAAATATCAACCGGATGTGCGCACATTTAATTTAGAAAGCAGCTGAATAAATGTAATTGTCGTCCTAGTAATTAAGCAATATACAACTCAATATTTTAAATAAACAGCAAAACAGTGCTGACCTACTTCCACAATGCCACACTCGTTACCTGAAGGTACAGCGTATTCAAATTGACTGTAAGAACCTTATCTGTAGATGATCCAAAAGGAATGCTTGAAGCGCATCCAGTTGGCATTGGCTAAGAGGAGTTTCGCATTAAAAAAATCAGACGAAAAAAACGTTGCTGCAGATGTTAGGCCTACCACCCAGTGCAGGTAACTTGTCGAATATCTTAACCAACCTTGGCAACCTCGTCGAATATCTTAAAAACTTAAAAGCCAAAGAAGCCATTTTGGCTAAAATCCTTGTCTCGAACCAAACTGATCCCATCTTCAGCATCTCCTTTCGTGAAGGTTGCAGCAGCAATCCAAAATGGCTGCACGGTGATTCACAAAATCGCTATGCCAATGGTTCCAAACCCTCTTGCGGTGTAGGCGCATATATTTTCCTTTAAGTAAAGATGCAACAATATGCCTGGCGGACTAGTTTCCATACTTGAGACCACCCAAGTATTATTAAACAGGCAATAAGCCAAAACTAAGATCAGTTTTTTTTTCGCATAGTCAATCTGTTTGCAAAGCTCTAAATGGCTACCTACAGACACTCCATTCGTTGAACCCAGCCCATCTCTTGGATTCAACGAGAATGATATCAAAAGGAATCTTTACAGAGCGCTAACAGGCCACTATGGCTTGTAAAAAAAAATTATTTGCTTATGATTGTCCTTTGTAGTACAGACTTGCAGATTCCGCGGTGAAGAGGAGGAATCAGTGTAACACCTTTTTGTCACCTATCTAACACTAGCTCATCGCAGCGCCAGATTTTTAAACGACTTCGCGCTTAGCGAAGACAATCTAATGCAGATTTCGCAAACTTTGTGGTTTCAGTCCTGGTTAGTCCACCACTGACCAGATTTTCGCAGTACGTAAAATCCTGGAGAAGAGATTATATTTTTGTGCACTTTAAAGCTGCAATTGATAGCACGAAGAGAAACTATCTGTACGACGCCTTGTCTAAATTAGGAGTGATGTTGAGCACAACCTTTATCTCCGTCCAAATTGGGAAGATCCTCTCGGCCCGTTTGAGACCGAACGAGATACTAGACAAGGCAACTTTTTCCATCTGATGCCGGAAAGCGTAATAAGAACTGTCAATCTGAATCACAGCGTAAACACCACCAACAATGTCAGCATGGAGATCAACAGGTGCTACTTTGGGCTCGGTAGTAAATTAAAAACCAGAGCCCTCTCTCGACGAACAAAAATGCCGCACTACAAGTCTCTCGTCATGCCGTTCTTCTTTATGCGGCAGACGGCGACGAATAAAGAAGATTATGATTTGAGCGCTTTCAAGAGAACTATTATACGCAAGATAACTTTCCCTGTTTGCATGGACGACGGGTATCGGAGAAGACTGAATGGCGAACTGTATGAGCGACGTGGATATAGTTAAGCGCATAAAAATAAAGCGATTGTACGCAAGAACAACGGCGCTGCAGTGAAAAGATCATTCGACTCAGAACCTATGGGTGCACGAGGAAAGCAAGGACGTCCACGAAAAAAAAATTGAGGGACCAAGTACAAAAGGACCTGTATGTACTCGGTATGAGCAACCGACAAACAAGACAGTGAGGATTCTTGAAATAAGCTACAACAGGCCGATAATGCTACCGGATCAAAGCGAAAGTTTCATACGATCGTGAAGTTCGTAAGGGAAGCCTTGCCCTATACATAAGTACTTCTCTGTGGTCGAAACCGCTCTGATTAAGCTCATATACTGATTTCTAGCTCTCGCCTGATAAGGGGATCTACAGAGTAGAGGCTTTCGTGTGATAACCTTGCAATTTTATGGAGCGGATACCCTATATTATTTGTGCATACCTTCCTGACTGGTCAGGTAGATATAAATTGAGAATGTTGTTCGATCTCTTTTGGCAAGTAGTTCTTAAAATTATAGTCATAGCATTAATAGAACTCGACTGTTACAAGCATTTGCTATAAACTACATATATCTACTAGTTATGTAGGAGTATATAGCTAGTTTTGATTGCCATTGTCACATATTAAAAAACACGAAAAATTTACTAAATAAATTAAAGCAAAAACCCAAATCCAAAAAAGGCAAACAAACCGAAATAAAAGTGGAACCAAAACCGAAACCGAAAAAATTAATGCAAAAAAGAAAACCAACCTAAGCAAATGAACGAAGCAACAAGCGACAACGAAACAATCGAAATGAGCCAACGAAAATTTTTCGTACAAAATTCATTTACTTGGTCACTGACCGTCCTCAAGGTTCTTCGTCGTATTTTCGTTTGCGTTCTGTCAAGCCCACCAGCAATTCTGTGGTTGCGCGCGCCCTGGACGCTCACTGCGCTTGGCAGTCGGGTGACCGTACATGCCGAGGTAGGTCGGTGAGGACAGGACGCGCAAATTACACAGCAAATGAGCGCCACAAACAACATCAAGCAAAGGAAACAGAACGAACAACGGACTGCAACAATGCAACGTCAACGACTGGGCAACAGCGACACACAGAACCTCACAGCCACAACCACAACGATAATCAACGACGGCTAATGAAAGCAAAGTGCATGTAAAATTGACGAATAAGCCGAAAGTGTATAGGGGCAAACAAAAATGTCGACTGCAATTTGGCTGGCTGTTGGGCGAGAGGCTCGAGGAGAAGGGGAAGCGGCCGATGAGCTGGGGAACGCATTAAATAACGCAAAAAGCGGCGAAAAATGCGGTAACCACAACTAAAAAACATGGAAAATTATGAGATCAAAAAATGCACTCTTCGTGGAAGCTACTCAGTTCAATGACAACGCCAACAACAACAACAGCAGCAGCAACACGCGAAGCATGCAAGACAAAAGCAACAATTGATGCGCGGTTTTGCACAGCTGCGCTCTAGTACAACGTCAAAGTGAGCAGCACGCAGGCGTCGCAGCAACATGCTTCTTCTTCCTTCCTCCGTGTTTGGCAAATTATCGTCCATCTTCATTTGCACTCAAAATTTTGTTTGCCAAAAGAGCTGTGCTGCATTTTTCGGGTGGTTCTCTTACAACATTTCGGGAAGAGAGCATGAAAACTTGTTTCCGTTCGCATGAAAGTGAGACCGAAATATGCGAACAGCGACAAAATGCATTCAACAGGCGGCAGTTGGAGCAACAATGGAGGAGGACAACCGGCAATTGTGAGTATCGGCTTCGGCTTGCGGGAGAAGAGTGATTAATTGGCTGACATGCAATTGCCGACATTTAGGCGATACGATGGCATTCATAACATCGGCATATGCAGCCGTAGTTGCAACAATAAAATGCATATTTATATGTACTCGCATTAACGTAAATAGAACGAAGAATGACTCAGTCAGGGAAATTATTATTTAAATAAGGAAAACTGCTATCAGTTATGTATTTCAAATTACTTAGGTATTTAAAACTTATCATAGATTTTTATCATTTTTGATTTCTTAGAACCAAATATATTTAGCTACAGATTTACCATCGCTTAAACTGGATTCACCGTTGAGCGTAGTTCATTTTTAAGTATCCAAGACGAAGAAAAGTAGGATACCTTGCTATAACAACTCAAATTATTTCCATTATATTTGGCTGTAGAAGTTATCTGTCACATACCTGTGAAAGTATCTGACTAACTGGGACTAAAGTGCCGTTTTCTCAAGCGCCTTTTTTAAATTTATCTGCCCCTTCAATACAGTTTTAGAGATCAAACTTTGTATTTAAAGACCAGATAAATTTTAGAAGCTACTTAAGAAAACTTGTTCTGAAATCCGCAGGAAATCGGTCCACTTTTACTCAGCAAATGTTTCAAAGAAAAAGAAGTGGAAAGCTAATTTACTCACAAATCTATGCAGAACATATATATATATCTATATAACCTAATATGTGTACCTCCTTTCTCCCCTCCTATCATCAGCAGTCAACAAATTTCTTAAAGCTTTTGAAGGCAGAGCGACAAAACTAACTGCTTATGTGGACGAAATCGCAATTATCCTATGCGGAAAATGCCTGAACAAGATGAGCTCCAATTATAAACTCTCCGAGGAAATGGACCTCAGTATAAACAAACCTACTCCTATTCACCAGGAAGTATAAAATTCAGGAATGGAGGAAACCTCAGAAACACAGAAAAATCCCATGCAATATTTGGAGGGAATAAGCCATAAAATCCATAGTGTCAAATACGTTGACCTCAAAAAGTATCCTGGCGTGCAGAAATGAACTAAAAATGCTAGGGTTGACTAGGGGAATTCACTTGTACAGGGTACCTGGGCACAAGGGCATAGAGGGAAACGAAAGTGGTGGTAAAAGAAGGAGTGCTACTAAAAAAAATTCCTATCTCCCTGCAGGTTCTTAAAAAGCAATGTGACTTAGGCATGTTCCCATAGGCTGGTAAAAGGTGGCCACAAAAGCGTGGTTGCAAAGTATCAAGAGACTTCTGATGGGTCTCATAACGGGTCAGAATTGGTTAGCTAACCACGTCCGTAAAATGGGTTTGGTGAGTAGAGATAACAGTAGGGAAGTGCGAAATAGAACAAGAAACGGTGGAGCACATAGTGTGCGACTGTCCAGTGCTGGCAAATTTGCATCTGAACTACTTTGGGCGGCGTTCTTCCCTCCTTACCTCGGGCAAACAACAAATGGAGGATTCCACAAAATCCAGAAATTCGCTAAGAAACTTTCTTATGTTCTTAACATAGTGCCCACCTATTCATCATGAATGGTCGTTTTTATCTGGTAACACTATGGGCAAAAATCACTTTTGCATATCTCCTTTAGTATCCGAGATATTGGCTAATACTTTTTCGGTAATTTAGTAAACATGGAGTTAATAACGCAGTCACACTAAACTAAGCAAGATCTTTAAAATGGCGTCCATCCATTTTTGGATACCTCCTTCATTTTCCGAGATATTGAGTAACAAGTATTACTAACTTAGTAAACATTTTTATCACAATTGTTAGTAATTCATAAAAAGTGGCTGCCAAGCAGTTGACTAAGGTTTGCAAATGTAAATTAAAGAGTCTTCCTAGATTCAGTTGCAAAGCCCAAACGCATCCAGTCGCATATGAAAACTCAGCTAACAGCAGTCCCACAAAAACAAACAATATTTGTCGTTCACTGCCAGCATCATGCAACAACCCCAGAGCCCCAACCACTAAACTATATGGTTTTCCGCCAATTGTGCGCACAACAGTTCATTGCTCGTTGTGGTGAATGTCGTGAATGTCGTGAACAAGTGTTGCCACATGCTGGTGATTAACTAAATCCCAGCCATGACAAACTACCTAAGCTGATTACGAAATCACATGTTGCCACTGGAACATCGTTCACCTATCCACACGCCAGCCTAAGCAATCAACGGTCTGACAATTGTTTCGTGCTGTCTGACTGCATGGCTGGCCTAATCTGGCAACAAGTTCCGAATTTCGCCAGGCAACCAAAAAAAAAAACAAGCACAGCAGCCAAACTCACCCGACATCGCCTGACTAAAGAACACTTTAAGAGGTGACAGCAGGTGTTTCCAGTTACCGGCCAGACGGGCAGTTGCAGTAGGCTGCTGCGCATTAGGCGGAGCACAATAAAATTAGGAAGTTTAGCATAATTGGACATTTCGAAATGTTTCACTTGTCTGGCCAGCGGAGGCATCCTTAACCATGGCACGGTCTGGGCGAATGCGATGTCGAAATGAGCGACGGCATGCAACAGGTTTTTGTCATTTAACCAAATCGCATTTTAGTGGCAGAACACATTGCATGCAACAAAATGTGGTGATAACGAAAATGAATTTATTATGTTGCAACGTCTTACGATTCGGGAATTATAAACCGGTACATATGTGTGTATGCATATACATACATACATATATTTTAGATTTGATCCTGTTGGCTACAGTTTGCAAATTTTCAACAAGGCGCTTACTAACCGGAAAAAATTTTGATAAGTGTTATTTTGCATTCAGACATACAAGTATTTAAATGTATGTATGTGTTTAGATAACCCCAATTAGCAACTTCGTCAACTATTGAATTCAATAACTATTTAAGAAATTTCAGGCTACTTGCTTTTAAATTTTCTGCTACTCTTTATAAAAATTTCCTTCACTTATTATTTCAGTTTTCAGTTCAGTTTCAAATTTGCAGTGCGATCAGCGGTCAGGGCGAAACGCGTTTGAGGTTCTTCCTCAATGTGATTGAAGTTCACATTTACCAGGGTGTACTGTGGAGCCTTGCAACGCTCTCATACCCTCTGCACGCGCATTGGAATCTATGGATTTCGTTGATGTAAAATGGGTAGACTGGGCCATCACGTCCTTCCAGCTCTAAAAAAACCCATATATACATATTCTATTCCACTCAATAATACATTTCCTAAATTCCTCGCCTCACCAAAAAAAAAATTTTAATTTCGAGTAGATATAGTTCCAAATGTTTTCAACTTCAGACTTGTTCATTTCCATTAGAAGACACAGCTGTTCACAAATACAAACTCAGCTTAAATTGGTAAGCACCTGCTTTGCATGTATGTATGTACATAGCTGTCCACCCTCGGCTGCCACAATTGGCATCGAGATCAGCGTGCAACACCTTTAGGCGACGCAGTTAACCAATCAACTCATGCAAATCGGAAATAGCTACATGCAATGAGGTAGCAGCTAGGTGCGTCTGCGCGGCCATCCTCAAACATAACAACGTAGGCATACGTTGCTCTTCCTAGGAGCAAAAATTGCAAAGCCGCCCAATGTTATTAGCCTGTTGCAGTCTGTTGCTGTGGCTGGCGATCGGTAAGAGACGAAGATTGCTAGTAAGCGCCTGCGGCAAACAACAACTCTGTCGTTTGTGGCGTGCGTCGTTATTCGCCACGCGTTGGCGCGCATGCGCAGTCTCAAAGCGCGCATTCAATTTCCATAGCCACTCGATCGTTCCAGTCGGTCTGTACCTGCCTTTGCAGCAATTGTTGCTGGTGTTATTGCTAACGTACTTACAACTCAAGTTGGCCATGTTGCACACAGTTGCTTGTTTTTGCTTTTGCTGCTACTGTTTAAATAATGTTTACATATCTCAATCAGCGTAGATATCACCTCCACGACCTTACACACCAATAACACACTTCAACCACCACCGCCACCGCCACCACGATTCCCACTGCTTGTACTGCAGCGGATCCGCCCCTTTCCTGGCGTACCGTGGCGACGCATCAAGCAGCAACTCCTGGCTGGTCTTTGTTGCTACCAAAAGCCACTTTTGTAACTTTGTTGCCACGACTGTCTATTGCCACAAATGTTTGTCTGTCTGTCCATTATTGCAGCACGCTTTGTTCATTTTTATTTCCTTAGCAGCTCATCTCCGCCAAACATCGTGAGGCTGCCCCATGCACTGCCGCCAAACGTTGTTGTTATTATTATTGGTCGGGAGCTAGGCTGTGTCTGCTGTCTCTGTGCCTGGGTGTCTTAGCGCTTTGGTGGCGACATGGCAGTTTTGTGGCATGGTCTTTCTTGTTGGTCGCGTGGCACACTGACTCACACTCACTTCCAAACACACACCCATACATACATACATATGTATGTTCAGCGGCCTGGCATTCAGTGCCATTTTACAATCTGTTAACAATGGTTATAAATCCATTTGTAGTCGTGGCAATTTATGCCAACACCTATTAAGTTGTTACATTCAATTGTCTGATTTTTTATGATCTCAATGACACAAATCAACACATTCACAATAGGATCGAGCCGTTTTCGCAACAAGCCCTACACTGAAGTAAGTATGTATATACTTCTCCATGTATATTTTATATGTATTTATGTAAGTACTACCAGTATGCAAATCAGGTGAAGCGCTGACATCTCTTCGTTAAAGGGTTCCATCCTGGTGCAGTAATAGCGACGTCAGGAATAATAATCGGCGTACTTGGTGGCATTGGAGCTGTTAATATTACGGTAATAGTGAATTATTACGGAGTATCAGCAGGGAGTCGGAAATGGTCTTTTATGAGTCCTCTGCCGTTTGCATACCAGCTTGGAATGTTGTTTTGGTTTCTTTAGAGCATTAAAAACATTGTAAGTATTTACGTTATCAAGAGCCAAAAACTCAACCGCGGGCTGCAATTTCAAATAGAAGCAGATTTCAAAAACCCAATCCCAAGCTGATATTGTAAACGCTCCCTTAAA